TAGGTTTGGCAGCCACACGTCGATTTTCCACCATTGGAGCACCTTGGAGGCGATTTTTGAGAGCTTGATCTACATTCTTCTCATCCTTTTAAGTAATTGTTAGTTTCTTGATGCAAAAACACTTTTGTGGTTGTTATCTTGTTTCCATGAGTGGCTAATCTCTTTATTATGGTTGACTTGGGTTAAAACCCTTGGATATTTGTAGGTTTTGAGGGATTCATGCTTGATTGTCATTTATCTTATGTTTATTATTCTAGTTCATATTTCTTATGCTTGTTTAATACTTTGATCATGAGCTTGGTACTTGAATGAGCAATTGTTGGTTTATTTCTTTAATTTCGCATTGAATCATTGAATTTACTTAGAACAAGGCTTTATGATGGTAGAAATCATCTCTAGCTTATGGATCATGAATCCTTTATTGATGTGTAAGCATTGACATCCTCCAGGAATTGGGGATTCCTTCATTCTTAAGGCCAATTAACTTCCTTGGGTTCAATTGCTTCAATTGAATCCTTGATTTTGATTAAGAAGGTGTGTTGTGGGCTTCCCCAACCTCCATACTACCTTTGAGAAATCTTGGCATATCATGCTTCATGATTGCTATATCCAATCTAGGATGGATGATAAGCTTCATATTGAATCCTAATGATAAACACATAAATGTTCATTGTGTTGAATTGCCTTGGTTGACCAATTCTCTCCAATATTTGAGCATCTCACAAATCTTGCTTAATTGCAAGTATTTTAGTTCTTCAAGTCTTTTAGTTCTTCAAGTCTTTTAGTTTTCAAGAAATCACACCCCCCTTTTAGTTTAATTGTAGTTAGTTAGGCCTCATTTGTTTTTCTACAAAAGTACTTTTTGAGCACTTTTCCCTTCTGGCGGGTAGACGTTTCTCAAGTGCACGTCTTCTTCCGCAAACAAGGAAAAAGACAAAAGACATTTAACCACTTCCAAAACAAACAACACCTTAGTTTTATTACACTATTTCTTTTGGATTGCATTGGTGATTGAATACAACAATTTCCTAGAGGATCGATGCCCATTTTTACCATTATATTATGTTTTATTTTCAAGCAAAGGGTGTAATTTTCTTGGTGGACTTGACATCCCACCAACAAGCAACTTGCCACATCGTGCGAACTGGTTCTAACAGCTTAACCGATTAAGCTCTTAACCCTTAATCTCCAAAGTGCACAAGCTCATATATGATCCTTCCAAAGGTCTTGATTGATAAAGTTTCTAACTTTATCCATTAAGCCATCCCAATATGTCAAGATCTGTAAACCTAGGTTCTTAATGGATGTACCAAAAGCATGGACACCAAACTAAGTCATGCAAACCATCTTTCTAATGACCACCTAGGTCATGAAGCCATAGAATGCACTTAAGGGTTTTGGAGTTCACTCAACTCCAAGAACAAGAAGATTTGGACCAAAAAGCTCATAAAATTACATAACAATAGATCTAGAGAAGTAATGAGCAAGATAGCAACTTTATACCTCCAAATGATCATAAATGTGATGAAGATGATAGATCTAAGCTGGAGCCAAGCACACAAGCAACAAGAGAGACTCTTTCTTCCTTCAACCTTCACAAAAATGGGCCCACACACTCAAAACACACACCACCACGTCGTGGCCAAGCCCAAACCTTACAAAAATTTTAGATTTAATGATTCAAACTCAAAGAAGTATATATGAAAAACGGATGTTACAATTTTAGTCAGTAAAGCAAATCCAAACCTAAAGTAAAACTTGATTTACGCTTTCATCTTACCCATAAATATTTTGTGCATTAGTTAAAGAAACGCAAACCAATAAATTAGTTAAATACATGGTTCACTTAAAACAGTTTACCTGGACTACAACAATAACATTGCCAATTAAAGTTATCAAAGTCAAATTCAGCTCGATTTTTTCATTACGACACTGCCAAAAATCTTGTTGGATGGCATATTAATCATAGATAATCTTTTCTGATAACTACATAAACTTTTTTTATTCAACTGTCAATTGCACATCTAACTGTAACAAAGATAACATTTAACTAATAATAACTCATAATCTGTATCCTCTTTTAACAATGCCAAATTCAAATCAATCGGAATAAATACAGTTAACTGCCATTATCTTCTTGGCTTCTTCAGTTTGTCTTTTCAAGGATATCAAAGCTATCATGTCTCTAAGAACTTCAAATGACTTTATTTTTTTTAGCTTCATCGCTTTGTCTCTAACAAATCAGATTCCAAGATCTAATTTCCATATTATTAATCTCAATTTGAAGAGGAGATTTATATAGTAAAAGTTCACCTTTCATTTTGTATTCCCTATGTTTCTAGCAATAGGGATTGCACCATATCTCAAGGCTTCATCTGTAACAAAAAAATACTCCCTCCGTCCCAAAATTATTGTCCACGTTTGAATTTTTAAGTCTTTTTTGTTCAACTTTGACCTTAAATAATTTATTTTTTGTTATATAATTTTTTATGCAAGATATATGAATAGATTGTTTTTTAAATGTATTTTCATTGTTATAAGTTTCATCAAAAATTATATAACACAAATAAAGTTATTTATGGTCAAAGCTGACATGGAAAGACTTCAAAAGTCAAACGTGGACAATGATTTTGGGACGGAGGGAGTAGTAGTTAAATAACTATTAGTTGTCAATTTCCATCCATAAACATAAGAAATAAAATGTCGAAATAAACAAATAATCTCTGGTTCCCATGGATTCCATTTTCCTGTGGCTCATTTCTCTCATTTCCGTTAATGCAATCCTTAGTTATAACACAAAAACTACATGATCCATCAATTTGGTTTATAGGGGTGTTTTTCGTAATTACTAAATGGTAATATGAATCTCTTTGTAGTGTCTAGGACCTCCACAACCTGATCAATATCCATAAATCTGTAACCTGCTTTAGAAGCATATGCAAGACAATCTAATGAGTCATAAATTGAAAAGATTTACCTCATTGTAAGGTGAGCATAATCACCATTACAGAAAATAGCTCAAAACCCACAGTAACACCAAAACTAAAAGATGTAAGCATTATTGTTGACTTTTAAGTACAGGGAAGGCAATAACATTAACGTTATAGCAGAACCCTTGCAAGATCAACAATCAAGCAAGAGAACCATTTAAATTTCCTAATCGAATCGTAGTTTGGTTGAACTTAAGAAAAGGGGAACATTGGATATTCATACATGATGAAAAATTCTAGATTTTAATAGCCATTTTCAACTTCCTCAACCACCGCCACTTCCATTAACAACCTATATATTTGTTTTCTTTCCGCATACCTACAAAAAAATAAAGATAAACCCCTAATTAGATTCAATGCATGAAACAGTTCATACATTCTTTAAATTTCTACAAAGATTCAAGATATTAGTAAACTTAAGAGTATGAATGAATATTCATCAGATACCCACCTCTATAAACACCTTTATTGGCATGAAATTCCTTACATTTTCTCTTGATACTCAACCACTTTCTAAACCAATTGACCAAGAGAAATGTCCCAACAGAAAAACAAAGCTTCATTCAGCCAAATCATCAATAAACCCAAGTAAAGAGTTGAGAAAATGCATTGGGGAAACAAAATAAAACCTTGTTCTTTTTGGAGTTTTCATCTCTCATTCTTCCTTTTGGTCTTAGGGTTTGCTGATATAGGAAAAAGCTTCCATCACATCTCAGAGATGTGTGTGCATAGAGAAAAGGAGTGACAATTGTGCAGGTGAGGGAAAAGAAGTGGAATCTGCCGCTTCTTCTTATTTATACATCCAAACATCTTCGATCAAAACTCAAACCGAAAATCAAACGGGTCCAGTTTCTTCCACATCAAGTAGCCATGCATTATTTGAACACAAACGATCCAGTTCGGGATTAAATAAGGGCAATAAATGGAGGGGGGGGGGGGGAATTAACACAATCAGAGTGTGGAGCTCGTAGAAGAAACATACCTGAGTGGTTGTGCGAGATGAGAGAGAAGGAACATGGGGAAGTGCAGTGGAAAGTGGAAAGAATTGGCTTGCGATTTCAATATATAGCAGATGGTGAGGTTGAAGAAGGAGACGTGAGCGGAGAATAATACCCTTCTGAAAAACCGTTGGGAAATTGAAGGCGAAGAGGAGTTACGAGAAGTCAAAGATCGGCGATGCATGAAGAATCATGGGATGGTTGGCGCTCAATGTATTCAACCGTTAAGAGATTAGAAGTTTGACATCGATCTTGATGAAAGTTGAAAAACATGAGAATAAATCGATGTTGACGAAGGTTGAAGAATGTGAGAAGGAGACGACGAGGTTGAACACAATAACTGTAAATAGCGATTTACAACGGCTGATATTGAATATCAAGAATATCGGATGCTCCTTATTTTTCAAGCGGTTCTTGACTCACCGCTGATAGTAATAATAATAATTTATAATTCTATGAATCAAATAAGATATTAAAAACTTAAAATACAATTTGATTTATCAATAACAAGGTTTTTCATTTAATAACTATATCAAAATGATTTTTTTACTAGAAACACTTAATAAATTAATTTCCAAAACACATTTCTTGCACGCTACACACGGGACAAGTTGGCAACATTAATATATGTAGAGCATCTTTTATACAATCGGATAACTCTAGAATTTTAAAACATGCGTTTCAATTCTTCTTTTTTAAATGAATTTTTTGTTTTTAATTAGGTAACAGACTTAATTTTCTAATCTTTCTAGAAAGTTATCCGGAAAAAAAATATAAAAATCATAATATAATAATGTAAATATTAAGTAGGTAAGTAATTAAAACTAAAACTAAAACCAAATAATAATATAGATATTAAGTAATTGAAAATAATATCGGAGTATTAAATTAATTGATTAGACACGTTTGTAAAACCAAGTAATAAAAAACAAAGTACTTTTTTTTTTAGCAAAACCCAATTAATATTGGAGTCAAATCGTGAGTGCTACCATCACCGCTGAACTCTGAATATATGCTCGCTCCATCATATTCCATTTTCGAAACTTTTTCAAAGAGTAAGTTTAACTCCACCGATTAGTGATTACAACCTTTAAACTATTTGAACTGAAACTGAGAAAGAACACATAAACATTCAGCCATGGAGGGTAGACTTATTAAATCCTTAACAATGATGATGGTGATCCTGATGAGTGCCTCAGCTAAAATACCCACCACCATAGACGGCCCATTTAACCCGGAAACTCGAAAATTCGACCCATCACTTCGTCGAGGCAGCGACGATTTGCCCATGAATCATACCAGATTAAAGAAAAATGTGACTTCAAATTTTCCAGAACAAATTGCTTTAGCACTTTCCACTCCAAATTCCATGTGGGTTTCATGGATCACTGGTACAATTTCACTCATTTCCACCAATGTATATGTGATTGTTCTCGATATAATTTCATTCTTGTTTTAAAGGCGATGCACAAATTGGGAAGAATGTGACGCCACTCGATCCATCGACTGTTGCTAGTGAAGTGTGGTATGGAAAAAAAGTGGGGGTGTATTCGAAGAAACGACATGGAGTTTCAGTGATTTATAATCAGTTGTATCCATTCAAGGGGCTTCTTAATTACACTTCCGGGATCATCCATCATGTCAAAATTGATGGTAAGAATTCATCACCTCAATCTTCCATTAATACCCATAATCACTAGTTCAAATCAATACTTGATTTGCTTTATTAGGTCTTGAACCTGGTACGACTTATTACTACAAATGTGGAGACAGTTCTATTCCGGCGATGAGCGACGAGCGTGTTTTCAAAACGTTACCGTTGCCCAGCCCTAACGCATACCCTAGTAGAATCGGAGTCGTCGGAGACCTTGGCCTCACTGCAAATACGACCACCACTATCGATCATCTGATTCAAAATGATCCATCTCTTGTTGTAATGGTGGGTGACCTAAGTTACGCTAATCAGTACCTTACAACCGGTGGCGATGGTGCTTCCTGCTTCTCTTGTACTTTTCCCGATGCCCCAATTCGTGAAACATATCAACCCCGTTGGGATGGATGGGGAAGGTAAACTCTTCTGTATGACTTTGGTATATGGATTGTGATTCCCCCTTATATCCATATAGAAGAATGTGATAATTTTGACACGAGTTTTGTTGCTAAAGTTCAGGTTCATGGAGCCCTTGATCTCTAGAGTACCCATGATGATCATTGAAGGTAACCATGAGATCGAACCACAAGCTTCTGGTGTCACTTTTGAATCATATCTAAAAAGATTCGCAGTTCCCTCGAAAGAGTCGGATTCTAACACGAATTTCTACTACTCATTTGATGCGGGAGGCATACACTTCATCATGTTAGGAGCATATATTGACTACAATAGAACCGGTATCTAAATTTGACTTTTACCAAAATTGCTAATTTGTTACTCGTTTTTCAAGTAGTGAGTAGTTGATACGAATACATGATTTTTTTTTTCAGGTGCACAATATTCGTGGCTTCAAAAGGACTTGAGAAAATTAAACCGAAGTGTGACACCTTGGTTAGTGGCTGCATGGCATTCCCCTTGGTACAATAGTTATTCCTCACATTATCAAGAATTTGAGTGTATGAGGCTAGAAATGGAAGAACTTTTGTATGAGTATCATGTCGACATTGTGTTCTCTGGTCATGTAAGATACTGTTTCTTTTTTACTTAATGTAAAAAGAACGACATAACACAAAGATAATGTTTCTTGAGTATGAGATATCAACCATGAATGAAATGAACCATAATTTGTGGCTTTTTCAGGTGCATGCTTATGAGCGGATGAATAGAGTGTATAATTACAGTTTAGACCCTTGTGGGCCCGTGTATATAACAATTGGAGATGGTGGTAACATTGAGAAGGTTGATGTTGAATACGCAGATGAACCAGGAAAATGTCCTTCACCTAGTGATAATACACCCGAATTTGGAGGGGTATGTCATACAAATTTTACCTCTGGTCCTGCAAAGGGCAAATTTTGTTGGGATAAACAACCCGAATGGAGTGCGTATAGAGAAAGCAGCTTTGGACATGGCATCCTCGAGGTAAGAAATGTTAATTAAGGACAAAAAGACGTAAATGCCCTCCTCATCCTCATCATTGAAAATAGCCAAGAAAGCTTGTCCATCATATCAGTCTCAATCCAATGCATGCTAAATGCAGTACAACCTGTTCTGTTCTATCTTGCAGGTTGTGAATTCTACATATGCACTATGGACATGGCATCGAAACCAGGATATTTATAAGGAAAACGACGTTGGTGATCAGATCTACATTGTTCGCCAACCTGAGTTGTGTTCGGTTTCTCCACAGGTAATCTTTAAACACTGTTCTTTCCTATAAACCATTTTGATAATATGGTCAAATGATGTTGTAGATTGATGTAACAGCTTAGTCAAACGAAGCAATCGGATGCAACGGGATTCGGAGTGCATGATTTGCGTGGTTCATCATCTTGTTTCTTGATCTTTGTCATTACCTTTACATGGCTTCATTTTCTGTAACCAATGTGTGTTGTAGCTTTGCCAAAAAAAAAAAAAAAACAGTTTTTCTTACTCTTGGTGGTTAATTTGTAATTAAAAGGTCCCATGTTCAACTCATGGTAAAAATATACTTGCAAAATTGACATTTTAATTGAATATAGTCTCATGAAATAGAATGTTTTAGATCCGATTCTATTAGATGCTAAAAGTACTTGTTAGTGTTCTAAAATAATTAGGGTAATATTAAATTTAGAAAAACATTGCAAAATGCTACTTTTTCACGACATGTTAAATTTTTTATTATATATATATATATTCAACGTTTTCTTGAGGAACATGTAAAATTTATGATGAGACAGATTTGTAACATGTCGTTGTACTGAACATTCTGAAAACGACCGTAACTCTTCCATAACTGCAAATAATCTCTTAAAACCGCGGGATTTTGTGATTATATATAGACCAAGGTTCTAAATAACGTGCTATGTCGTCGAGGCGGGGTGTAGATGTCCCGATAACGACCTAGGTAGCTGTATAAAGCTTGGCGGCCAAATAACGTGGTATGGCGTGAAAATGCGTGTCTTTTTTTCTTTCCATAAAGCGTTTTTTTAAAGGCTTTCTATGGATTCGAGGTTTCGACATGCTTTGCGAGTAGCCAAGAGTCATCGAGGTGAACCTTCATGGCCACAAAGGGGGTTTTTGTTCCTTATTGGATTTGATCTAAAGCTATTTCATGCTTTTGTAATGTTCACCGACTTTTTAAAAGATGACATTTTTGTAAGGTTTTAGTATAATTGTAAATCAATGATTATATGTAAGATTAAATGTATATTCACATGTGAAAACATTAGGTTTTAGTTAATATATGGTTTGTTTATATAATTTGATGATAGTAAAAATACATAGACATATATATATAATTACAAAATATATTAAAATTTTACCGCCTTTTCATGTCTTGAAAAATGTCAATGCCTCGTCATGTCTCTCAAGGCTTGAGGTTTGGTTATGCCGCCAAATAACGCGTTACGTTATTTACAACCATGATATAGACTAATATACTCACTTTTTTTAAACTTACAAATTTGAAAACAATTCAAAATATGATTACAACTATTGTTTTTTTCCTTGTGCCTTAGAATTGAAAACAATTCAAACTCCCGCGGTTTGAAAACAATTTTTTTATTATTAGATGTTTAGAAAGTTTTTTATAATGTTTATTATCATTTACTTTCATATATGTGGTACTGGTCTTTCTTATTTATTCTATCTATGTTTTTGACTCATTTACTGGTTCTCTAGTTACACATGTCGGAGGTCATCTATGAGACACACTCGCTCTAACTATCTAGGCACGACTGTCGACATCTACCCTATACTCCATTCTAATGAGATTCATGTGCCCGTGCCCGTTGTTGTTATTATTGGATTATCGTGATAAAATATTTATGGATCCGAAGCATAAGGTGCAAACAGTTTTTCAAGGAAAGTAAAATCACGATTGATAACTATGCAAGCAATCTAGTTTTTGATTTACCACACACTCCATTTCCCAAATTTAACAACAGTTATGAGACATCAATTTTCTTTAAGAAAATTTTGCTTCTGATTTTAATGTATACAAGACGATAGTTTGGGTTACTATAAGCTAAAACCAAATATCATAATCAATAGAAAAATGATTGGTGATAATCAATTATTTATATGGTTGATGTCTTGATGGTTATGGTGATTGATTTGTCATTTGATTAGTTTAAATAATGAGATTGGTTAAAACCCTTTATATACCTTAAAATCACTATCAACTTTAATTCTATTATATTAAAATCTCGAAACAGAAATTAATAGTTTAATATTTAAAATTTATGGTTAATTATGCCCATAAACAAAGTAAAATATGTGATATAATTAACTAACCATATTTTATATTAATTAAATTATTTTTGTGAATCATTTTCAATTGCAAAATAACTTTTCTAACCAAAAGCTATTTTGCAAGTTGTTAATAGTCTAATTCTACAAAATAATTGCTCTACAATACCAATGAATCTTGACTAATTAGGATAATATTACGGCTTTTGGTCTAGTGGTGTAGAAGTTTATAGATTGATGTCCCTCAGTCAAATATTGATGTTTCAAGTTCTGTAGAGGAAGTAAGGTTGGAATAAAATAGTGGATGCGTTTGTAAACCATTCTAAAAAAATTAGGGTAATATTAATTTAGAAAAACATTGCAAATTACTACTTTTTCACGAAATGTTAAATTTTTTGATATATATATATATATATATATATATATATATATATATATATATATATATATATATATATATATATATATATATCAGTGTTGTAAAAATCCCGATTAGGTCCCGATTAATCCCTAGGCGCTACTCGACCGATTATAGGGCGCCTAACGATTAATCCCTGAATACAAAATGAGTAAAGGAGTCCAACCCGATGAAATTTTAACACTTTAAAGAAGTTATACATCAATAGAAAGTATTTGAGGTGTGATTAGTGTTATATTAAACATATTAACCTATTTTGTGATGATATTAGTGGTATTTATGAACTTTTATATGATATTAGTCATATTTTATTTTTTAAAATTCAACAAATTAACAATTAATGGTCCCCGATTAATCCCCCAATTAATCTCCGTCTAACCGATTAATCTCTTAATCCCAGTCCACCGATTAGCCAACGTCGAACGATTTTTACAACCTTGATATATATATATACATGTTCATTTGAGAACGTCTATATTTTGTGAGACATATGGACCAAATCTCAGCCTTTGATCAAATTTGATATTGTGGCTCATAAAATAACGGATTAACATTAATTAACCTAATTGATTACTAAATTAGGGGTAGATTAGTCACTAGGTTAAATTTAAGATGATCATATCTGATATAATGTTAGCGTCATCTTCACGTCATCAAGAAATCCTCTCATCTTCTTTGATTCTTCTACCAAGATATTTGTTGGATCAACATTCCTTAATCTTCAATCTACAATGATCAATCTTCTATCTCCAATCTTATATTCTTTCAATCGATAATCGATTTGAGTTGGAAATTGATCGAACGATGCTAAATCATAGCTTTTAAATTCGCAATTTTTGTGTTTTTCGAGTTCATGTTCTTCATTCTTCTACATCTGCAATTGATAATCTAAGTGATTGAGGTTTATGTTCATCTATCGACATTAACAATTCATTACAAGATTGTGATCGATTTTAACTCTGTGATCATCGATCTCATCCAAGGTAGATGTTCAAGTGTTCAATGATTTCTGCTAATCTTCATCTTCAACATTTTTTACGATCATTCAAGCTGTGATTTTTACTCAACATCATGAATTCATCAATTGATCAAGGTTTGAGTTTTCATCGCTTTCATTGTTACTTGCATATAACATATTTATTTTTTAAACTAGTTCATGATTTGAATCATCAAGCTATTAGCGATTTCTCTAATTTATATATGTATGATTCGTGATTTTAGCAATCAAACATCATCTGTTGAATTAGTTTGACCTAGAAAACAATTTAACCTATAATATGTTATTTGGCAATACATCATCTGTTTCATTATTTGATTTTGAACTTTCATTCAATCATTATGTTTTTCAGCAATATGTCATATGATTGCCTTTCATTAACATCATATGTTTGCTTTTCATTAACATCATCTTGGTGATAAATGTTGGAAAGTGTGTCCAAGGTCATTAACTATTGGTAATATTACTAATAATAACAGGGTCCTTTTGGGTTGCCCTCATGACCCAAATTGAGTAGAATAAATAAAGAAGAAATTGGTTTATTAATTATTATGGTTAATAATTAATTAGAAACTAATTGAGAATATATTTTGGGAATTAATTAACAGTTTAATCAATCAAAGGGTTGAATATTCAATTAATCAATAGTTGGTTGATCATGAATATTCCAGAACACTAAGAAGAAGGGTGGTGGACGAAAATTCTCTTAGGATAAAGGGAATTTCGTTCTTAGGGTTATCCATCCCACATGGGCTTGAGGATAGAACCCTGGAAGACATCCAAGGCTATAAATAGGGACTTAGGGATTTCATTCTTCCTTGCACCTTGGCTTGAAGTTTCGCCAACCCTTCTTCCTCCCCCTCTTAGGGATGATTTCTAACTCACTTAGGGGGTGTGAAATTGATCATTCCCCTAATTATTTTTATTCCACTCTTTGGTATCATTGGGTGTGATACCAATAGTGGGATTCTTGTTTGGGTCCTCTCATCGAAGCAACTTCATGGAGGATCAAGCTCTCAAGCATGGAGATCAAGAGCTACATAATACGTATGTTTTCTTCCTTATGTTTTTATGTTTTCATAGGGTAGCTATAACTAGTATGAAGCCATGGATCCTAGGGAGCATGTACACTTATGTAACGCCCGTGTTTCTGGGCTAAGCATTAATGATGATGTAATAGTCTATGTCAACCATTGTAACCCATTTTAAAGTAATAAAGATGAATTACTTGAACATAAAAATAAGCGTCAAAAATAAAATGTTAGATAAACCCGATATCTATGAAGAAAGTTGTAGTGGTCGTGACAAGGATTCCGGAGATATAAAGAACGCCGAAATCCGAGTTATAACGAAAACGTTATGGCATGTCGAAGTTTTGCGACAAAACCGGCACGACACTGCGTGACGTAAATAGTGAATTTACGATAGAGGACTTTTTAGCCCTAGCAATCTAAACGAAAGTCGTAGTGTTCATTAAACCGAGAGTGTGCATAAAAAGAACGCCCAAATCTGACTTCGTATGAGGAAGTTATGATTTTTCTAAGTTTCGGATCAGCAGTGCACAACCCGAAGTTCGAATTTTAGATCGAGCGATTTTTAGCCGACACAACCTAAATGAGAATTGAAGATCTCATTAATAGGAGTTCAATGATAAAAAGACAGTCGAAAACAGAGTTTGTATGTAGAAGTTATGAATTCTACACGGTCGTTTAGCAGTGTAATCTTCTCATACTGTTAAACTTAAAATCGGTCGAGAATTAGCCAATAGAGTCTAAATAAAAGTTGTAGAGCATGATCCCACCTACGTGTGGGTATAAATAAC